CATCTACAAGAATAAATATCACATTTTAACCTCAGAGTTACGTTTTTTAATACCTTTTTAAAAATTTTTATTTTTACATGGTGCTGAGGATGGAACCTAGGGCCTCCCATGTGCTAGACAAGACACTATCGCTGAGCCACAATCCCAGTCCCTCCCCAGAGTTATATTTTAAACAGTGTGTGTGTGTGTGTGTGTGTGTGTGTTTAAATAGTGTTTTGGTGATCTTCATATAGATCTCTTCTTAAGAGCTGTAATGATATTCTTTTTATATGTCTACTCTTTAACTGTCTCATGTAACTTATTGGATACTCAGGTTATTCCCAAAAGTTTGTTCTAACCAGGAGTGTTATAGTGCAGTAATCTTTGCACAAATAAATGTGAGCTCAGGAGGAGAATATTTATTCAGTTCCTTAAGGTGGGTTGCTAGGTCAAAGTCTAACTGGCTTATAATAGTCAACCTATTTGCTCTTCCCAATAATATTTTAACTTTGCAGTGTTCTCATGTTAGACCATTTACATCACTAGACTGCATGTTCTTTTGAGAGCAAACATTTTCACATTTGCCTGGTCGAACTGGCCCTCAAAATATTTAAATTAACAAATTTTATACTGTGTAGTGCCAAGCCCAGTGCTTGGCATGGAGCACATTTATAATTCCTCACCGATTCGCCTTGCTAACTGAAGTGTATTAATCCCGGGACTTGTGCTAAGCTAAGCCCCTCACCGTCCGCAGACCCTTTCACTCCAGAATTCTACTACTAGGGAGGGGGCGTGCCCAGCACCTACCCGGGCATTTATTGGTTGAGTTTGACGCCCGTTACCCTGAGCCACGCCCCCCACAGTCAGGCCTGGAAGAGACTTGGCCATTGCCACGCCAGACTCTTCAGGCAGTCTCCCCGTGAGACTCGAGGCGAGCTCCAGGCCGGGCAAAGGGCAGGGCACAAGCTGACCCACCGTGGTGGGGAGAGGGAGCCGCAGTCCCGAGGAGCGGGCACCGGGGACTCGCTGGCCAACGCCGCGCCCCGCCCCTCAGCACGTGCGCGCGCACCGCCAGATCTTTGGTCAGACCTGCGGGAGTGGGGACTGGGCGGGCGGAGGCCGGGCTGCTGAGGTACTTAGGGGAGGAGCCCGAGCCGTCGTTGCCGAAGGAGAGGAGCATGTCTGCAACTCGAGCCAAGAAAGTGAAGATGGCCACCAAATCATGCCCCGAGTGCGACCAACAGGTGGGCGC